CACCAGTGTGTGAATGCGAGAGTGAATGAATAGTGGCATTGTAAAGCGCTTTGGGTGCCTTGAAAAGCGCTATATAAATCCAATCCATTATTATCATTATTAAGATCTCATCCAGTTTGTGCTCAGAGATGTTATTCCGAGTATTCACAGCAGCCATAAGCTTCTCCAAGATCTTATCCGTGATGACTCAATGAGCCCATTTTGAGAAACTCACGCCTCGTCCCATCGTTTCAATCCCAGCGGGCAGCCTTGTGGGGGTTTGAACAGCCAGTTCCACTTTCTTAATTCTTCGATAAGTCAGGGCCAAGCCAGCTCCGATCAGTATGTAGATATCTTCAGCACTCAGGCTCACCCGAGCCCAAACTTCTCGTTGAGAAAAGGTCAATTGTCAATTGCATTCAGAGACCAGTTGATTAAATCCATAATTCCTCTTTTAGGTTTTAGAGAACAGACTGTGAGAGAGTGTTCAGGGAAAAGTAAAAACACAGACAAGACAAGGACACAAGAAGCGAAGCAGGGAAGATAAGGGAGAGGAGAAAAAGTGCGTCCGCCTTCGCCAAGAGCCAAACGAGAAAAGGGTCATGTGGCACACGACGGTTGTTTTGTTATAATTACAGGCTGTCACATCCTCATGTGTTTGTTTGTTCTGCAGTGCCCGTCCCGACCCCACCACCCACCAAGCCCCCGACCACCACGCCTACACCCACAATCCCTGCTGCCAAGGAAGGTAGGAGAGCAGTTTATAATACTGTGATTGATCGTCTCATCTTTCCATCTCTTTATGTTGATGTGTTGTTGTTGATGTGTTTTGGTGACATCAGGCTGCATCCAAACAGCTTCTTTCATTTATTTCTTTTGCTCAGTTTTCAATAAATATGTATAAATATTTATGTATTATAGTTTGAAACGTTTGTTTTTATGAAACGTTTTGCATAACCAGCTTTGATATTCTGATTTGTAGCAGGAGACCTTTTATTATTTTATAGGTGTGCAGTCAGACATGTCTTTGGCCCCCAGCCCTCGGGCCACTGACCGGTACCGGTCCGTGAGTCGTTCAATACCGGGCTGCGAGATTTGAGGCTCGGGTGTGAAATTTATGGCTTTCAGAGTTTTTATTGTTAACTTGGTTTCCCTGGGTTTTATTGTCCTATTTTGAAAGAAATATTTATGTGTTACCATAGTGACCAGAGAGCATTAAGGGGAAGAGAGGAGGAGGTTACTCTCAATGTTGTTGGTGCATTTCAGGAGGACGCTGCTAATAAAGTTACACATTTACACAGTAAAGGTGGGAATCACCACACATCCCACGATACGATATTATTGCAATTTTTAAAAATATTTTGCGATATTCAGATTCTGTACATAAAGGTAAACTTTATCAATATTCATTTTCTCTAATATCAAAGTCTCACACTCAGTCTTTCTCTCATTTCAGTTTGATTGTTGACAAACTGAACGGTTTGTATTACAGTCTAGTCCAACTTAACTGAATCAACCATCTGGTACAATTATAGCTATTCTGAACGATGCAGTTTATGAAAACTATGCAGCCCCTTCAGCAACTGAAGAATTTGAAAGTCAATTAAAACAAAATATAATTTTACATTAAATCAAAAAGTTTTAAACTTCATTAAAATAAAACATGTCTTAAATTAAAATAAGTAAACTGTCACATTTGGACAGTGAAGGAATGTCAGGATTCTTGCTCAGAAAAAGGATCAACATGCTCTGAAGTCAGAGCACAAAAACCTTTTTGTAACAAAGTATCGATTTCTGCTGTCCCTGTATCCATACATTATTACAAACAAAATATCACCATGCTACATAGTATCCATTTTTCCCCCACCCCAATTACACAGTACATTCACGTTTATTATTATATTTACAGAGACAGTTTTTGTCGTATTATTTTATTTTGTTGTATTTATCCGCGACACCTTAAAGGCCGGTCCGTGAAGATAGTGTCTGACATGAAACTGGCCCGTGGCCGCTGTGATATGTGACACACTGTCTGAGATTTGCACGATGACGTTTTCTTTATTAACAGGACTGAAGTCCAGGCACTAACGTTTTGTACAATTCACTTGATAAGTGGAGGAAAATGGGTGGATAGACTGTACTGTAGTATTTTATGTGTAGACTGCACCACGATTGGACGAAGCCTGGGTGAGTCTGGAAAGTGAAGCCAGAGGCTGTAAGAGGCTTTTCGGGGACCTGGTGTGTTTCAGCTGCGTGCCCACTGACTTCACTCAAAATCCTCTCAGTTCACAATAATTCAGCTTTCAGGTGCTGCGATTGTCAGCGTCACTTCTCTCCACCTGTCAGATCCACAGTTACATTATCCCACAGCAAAGACGATGGTTTTGTAACCTGGTAACAAGAGTTTGAGATGATAAGTTCATGAGCTCTTTCCTCATCTGACAGCCATAGTTACCAGTTAGCTGTATTTATTTCTTATTTAATCTTATATTAATCTTACAATGTGGAGAATGGATGTTTATAAGGCAGAATCTTCATTCGCTGCACTTATTATGAGATTTCTCATTTAAGTTAAATATAATATGTGACACGAGCTTTAAATAGACTGCCAGATGCATTCAGGGCGAGCGTTAAATGATGCACTTAATCTTCAATTTAAGGCCAACTGTTGCCTTTTTCACTCGGTGCTTTATTTGTTTCCTCGTGTGGACGACATTGAATCGTTGTACACTCCACTGGAGCGCCGTCAGAATAATGGCATCGCGTGAATGTGAATGAATGTCAAAGATGTAATGAAGAATATTCTCAACGAGTCTAAATGATGACTGCAATTAACGCAGAACTGCAGCTTCAACGCAGACACAAGACACTGGAGCCATTACAGCTAAAGAATTATAAAGTACGACATGATCAGCCAGAGGAATTCAGTGTGCGGATAGCTTTGAGCATTAGTAAGGGACGCTTCATTTTACCGCAGATCGCCGTCATCCTCACAATGTGAGAGTGTCTCAGGTTTTATCCTCAGATCATCTTTGCTGTGACAGAAAACATGTATATCAGTGACAGGAAATATAAACCAAATCTGCAGCTACAAGCTGAAACCAATAAAAAATAAATGCATAAATACTTCAGTTCATTTTTAAAGTATAATTTTTTGATAGACGTCCTGTGAAGTATTTTTTGGGGGCAGAGTTTGATCCGTATGCCCACCGATCAAATGTCACTCGTTAAAGACGCAAATCTGCAGCAAATTTCTAATGAGATCAGCTTCAGTGACATATCAGGCTGAGAGTCTCAGACTTTCTCTCGATGTCACAGACAGTCAACATGCAGACAAGCTCACTGCACTAGAGAAGGAAGTAGGTCTCCTATTGGCTGCTTTCTGGGGTTCATGTAGAGCTGGGCGATAGAACGATAACGATATGT